CTATCTTACAAATCTGGCTAGACAAGAACATGTATACTGGTACAGATAAGAGCTCTCGACACAGGGGATCCAGAACAGATACACCCCTCAGAACCAATATGCGGAGCAGTGATTCTAGGAGGAGAAAGGAAGGGAAGGGGAGAGTAACTGATCACAATAATCGATATAAGGCCCCCCTCGCAGCAGAAAAGTGGGTGAAATGAGATTGCAGTCAGTGTAAGACATGGAAAAAAAAAAGAATTTATAAATTATCAAGGGGACATGGGGGATGGAGGCTGGGGGAGGGAGGAGAAAAATGTGCTGATGCCAGGGGCTGAAGTAGAAAGAAAATGTTTTGAAAAAGATGATGACAACATATGTACAGATGTGTTTGACACAATGGCTATATGTATGGATTTTGATAAGAGCTGTAAGAGCCCCCAATTTAAAAAAAAAAAGGTCTGGCTGAGTTTCAAGTTTAACCAGCAAAGGCTAAGCAAGTACACAGTAAAAGCAGTTTTATGCACACCAAAGCATAAAAGCAGCATGGACAACCAAAGAAAAACAAGGACGGAAAGAAACAGAGCTTCTTCAGAAGTGATAAGGTTGTTCTCACAGGCTTGTGTCTTCAGTCTCACTTGCATTCTCACTTTACATCTCTGAAAAATCATTGGAAGCATAACCTCACCCGGATAGCTGAAAACTTAACAGACCTCCTTGCTGCCAGGGACTGGTGTCCAACTCTTCTAAGTGCCTGACTCTTCTAGTTTCTAAGGCCAGAACTCCACGTACAACTCTGCATTCTTCTTCAATCCCTACTCTCAGACTCACCCACTGGTCTTCAAGCACACCATCTCTATCTAGGGCAGCGGTTCTCAACCTGTGGGTCATGACCCCTTTGGGGTGTGTGTGTCAAATGACCCTTACACAGGGGTCGCCTAAGACCATTGGAAAACAACCATTTCCAAAGGTCTTAGGAACCGAGATACCGCTTCTCTATCCATCTCAAGGCAGGTCCACCCACATACATATAAGCCCACCTATGAGTACCCAGCCCGAAGACTGTTACCCATGCTACATGATGCTTCAAGACAAAAATTTCACTTGCTATTAGAAATAAATATTTTACAATATATAATTACATATTGTTTTTATGATTCATCACTGTTTTAATTATGCTCAATTTGTAACAAATTGAAACAATTTGTAACAAATGAAAATACATCCTGCCTATTTATCAGATATTTATATTATGATTCCTAACAGTAGCAAAACTAGAGTTATGAAGTAGCAATGAATATAATTTTATGGTTGGGGGTCACCACAACATTAAAGGGTCGCGGCATTCAGAACCATTGCTCTAGGACAGGGGTCCTCAAACTTTTAAAACAGGGGACCAGTTCACTGTCCCTCAGACCCATTGGAGGGCCGGACTTATAGTTAAAAAACAAAACAAAAAACTATGAACAAATTCTTGTGCACACTGCACATATCTTATTTTGAAGTAAAAAAACAAACAGGGTAAAAACACCCGGTGGCCCGAGGGCCGTAGTTTAAGGATGCCTGCTCTAGGGTATACTGATGGCAGGTCTGGTTTATGGCAGTTTCTCCTCTGTCACTTTCATCGTTTAGTCTCTCCAACTCACCTTACACCGATGGCTTATTTCCCTATGAAAATATCACTGTCATGTCAGTCTCCTGCTCAATGACCATGAGTCTCCTCTACACGAAACTCCACTCGTCTGAATTATTTTTAAAGAGCATCCCTGTCTTAATCTGATTGTATTCTATCTATCTGGTCCCTATTTCACTAACATTTAACATGCAACCTCTTTTTGAGTCCAACCCACCCACTGCCATGGAGCAAGTTTCAACTCACAGGGTTTCCAAGGCTTTGTAAATCTTTATGGAAGCAGATGGCCTCATCTGTCTCCCAAAGGGAAGCTTGTGGACTTGAAGTGTCCTTCTCATCATCAGTGTCTACTCACCACCGTAACCAAGACGCCTTCCTTTAGTCAAAAGGGTAATCCTA